TATTGCCAGCATTAAAATGTCAGTGTACTTAAAAGGTACACTTGGATTGATTGGAAACATTCATTGTGCTGCCAAGTAAAAGCAGTTTTGGAAACAGTCAGAGATTAATTAGCTCAGCTCCGTCTTATTTATGGCTTGTAGCCCTGTCATGATAGGAGAAGAGCCGATTTTCCCTCTGCTCCACACCTTTTACAGGAACAAATGGACCTCTGGCTCAGCCTAATCCACACTGGCTGCATCGCTTTCAGTATCCTTTTGGCTTACAGGAACTATTATTTCTTGCCCTGTCATGTTTGACTGCATGTTTCACCAGAATAAGCTACGGCGCTGGGCAGATGAGGAGGCACGTCTGTATTAAATCACACTGCTTGCTCACCTGTTGTTATTTATTAAGATAATGAAGGCAGACTAAAAAGCGCAGCACACTATGCAGACTTTCAAACGTCCAAGAAAGAAAAGGAAATAAAAGAAACAGATGAAATGCAATAAAACTCTGATCATTTTGAAATAAGCCACATTTTGTTTTTCTGTGAAAAATTCAACAGCTGCTTTCTGATCCGTGTAGCCAGGTACGGCTCACCTTTAAGACAGAAAAGCAGGATAAAAGCCGAGCGTGGGTGGCATTTCCTGCAAAAGCCTTTCGTGTAAACAGACTATTTCATGTACACACGCACAAACACAGTTTATATTTGACTTCCTTCACAATTACATGCCGGCCAGTCTCTCCCACTGCAGTTTCACTCAAATTAGTCTCATCAGATCTTCAGTGTGTGAGCCATTATCAAAACAGGCCATTTATGTTGTGTATCCTGATAATGAGGGGAAGGCGGGATGGAGGAAGAACAGGAAGCAATGAGAAGAAGCAATTATTTTTTACAGATTAACCCAAAAGGAATGCAGTGTGTGTGCATATGTGACTATACATCTGTGTGTGTTACTATGGCTCTATATGGCTGAGGAGGAGGTGACTAAAAGGAATTAAGCAGTGATATATTGGTGGATAATTGTAATGAAATAAAAACTGATACATGCTAACATGGTCTGAATAGTTTAAGGCACAAGGCAGCTTGATGATATTTGTGTTTGGGGTGGCCTCTATGAGTCATCCCATCCAGCGTGCTGTGGATTAACTCTTTGTTGCCCTAAAAATGTTCATTCTGGCATCTATAATAACAAGTGCTGTGAATATAATTGATTTTGTTTTCACCAGTACATGGTGGCTTTACTTTTACTTTCTCTCAGCACAATCTGAACCACCGTTTACACGACAACGCCTTAAACCTGAGCTAGCCAGGCTGTGTTGCTTCACCTATCATTGCTTCAAGGCTAAATTAGTCCCATTACTTTAAGACCACTATGAGTCAGACTTCACACCGTCACTTCTTTCTACACACTGACGCCATAAACCCTCTGCCCATTTTCCAGTAAAAGGTGGCACTGTTCACAAGGACAAAAGAACAGAAAGCAGTGACTCAGATGCTCGCGTCTATTCAGCTGATGTGAACATGAATGAATTTTGAAGGAGCACGTGTGAGTGCAAGTATGTTGCAAATGGTAACGCTTTAAGAAGCGCATGATTATGAAGAACTCGGTGCCATCTTAACGTTTTAGTGTCGCGTGCAGACGTGCGCGCTATGTTCATCTGTTTTCGTCTTTGGCTTGTGGTCTGGTTGAGGGCCCCTTGCCTCTGCAGAGAAGAAGCTTGCTTTAATTCAGTTTAATTCAGCTTTATTTAAATCGCGCCAATTCATAACAACAGTCGCCCAAAAGTGTTTTATATTGTAAGATAAAACCGTACATTATTAGAACAAAACCCCAACTATAAGACAATGAACAAGCACTTGGTGAGAGTGGGAAGGAAGAACTCCCATTTAACAGGAAGAAACCTCAGTCAGGCTCAGGGAGAGCCATGTGCCGTGACCAGTTCAGGGGAAAGACGAGAGATATTAGACAAAAGGCAAATCATAAGAGAGTAAGCCAGAGTTTAATAACTGCTGAAAATTACATGTATAAACACATAGGTGAGGTGAGGGACAAAGAAACACTCGGCATAAGCGTAAGCCCCCAGCAGGCTTGGCCTATTTCATCTTAACTATGGGAGGATTCAGGGAAACCTCAAGCCTTAACTATAACCTTCATCAAAGAGGAAAGTTTTAAGCCTAAGCTTAAAGGTAGACTGGGAGCTGGTTCCACAGAAGACGGATCTGGAAGCTCCAGGCTTTGCCTCTGATTTTGAAAATGTTATTTTAGAGAAAAGGTTTCAGACAGTCCTTTAAAAGGAATTGCTAAAGTTAAAAAAGAATCCTTGAGTCTGACTAAAGCCTTCAGATTAGTGTGATCACAGTCACACGCTGCTTCCAGTAGAATCAGACGGCAGATCCGACAGGTGACTCATAAAGGTAAATGCATTCGTTTTCTCCTGTGTATCTGTGAAAGATTAACAGTAGTAGCCCTGCATCCAATTGCCTGTAGACCTTTCTGGTTCCCTGATATTTCCAAGTAGCACCACCAGCACCAGCTCCCATGTGTTGCTTGGTTTATTATATACATTATTGTCTAGCTCAGAATGAATTGCAATCACCTTGTTGGTCCAATGGCTGAATCTAGCACCATTATCACGTTTTAAATGTGCTTTACCAAATACGTCTAAAGATAAGACAGTGTCTTCAACCTCACATGTACAAATGGTGGCGTAGTAATGGACAAAACTGGCTCAACGTATGTTAAACTGTTAGGGGGACTTTACCCGGATGGATTTAGTGGCAGAAACACACACGAGCACAGGATAGTAGTGATGCAGATTTATATACAATGATGGGGGAATATTTACAAGGGAAGGGGCTATATACAGTGACAGGTAAAAATGTGCACGGAGAGCAGCGCTGAAGGGATGAGACGGAGCCGAGGTATGCGGGCGGACCGATGACGCACCGGAATTACCTGAAAACGAGGGACGAACAAAGTTACAGAGTACGTCGATAGCCGAGAGTTAAACTAAAAGTGGACGGGGAGAGTTGGAGAGCTTACTTGCAACACAGAAATACAGCTGTAGCGGTGGTCACAGCCTGGTACGAAGTAAC